GGGAAGTGAAAGTGGGAGGTTGGTGTAGATTTCCGATGTGGGACTCTGTGCAGGTTGCCGCGGTGGTGACACGTGTCATGAGAATTAGGTTTAACAGTTTGTGAGCTTTGGCAGTCGGGAGTTTCGGCAGGTGCTTGGCACCTCGGAAGAGTGTCTTCCTTCGGCAAGAGAGAAGGCGTGTCTGCCTTGGTGCTAGTTGTTTTGAGACTGGATATGCTCGGTTGATTATGGTGTAAACAAATTTCAATGTACGTATTAATTCTTTAGCAGAATTAACTAAATAATAAGAAAAAGCTAAGAAATTTATTTCAAAACAGAAGGGCATGTGTACTAATCAAACAAAGATTATTGTTCACATCTAATAGCCATGACTCGATATGATTCTTATTGTTGTGCATATATTGAACTAGCATCAATACACATATTAGTATAAAATGAGGTTCAATTGTTCCACCTGCTGATTTATTTTTCCGTTGAATTAACTTTTTTACCTTTTATTTCTGGTAACTACATGTCTAAAGGCGATTCTTTTACTTTGCAGGGATCTTCTTTACAAGCCAGTTGTATTAGGTGATAAATCGTGCCGTTGTATTTTGAAATATATGTTTCACTCACTTGGCTATTAGCAGCAATGAATATCTAGTTATCCCTTTCTGAAGACTTTATGATGTTTGCAGGCTGCGGCCACATTTCATGTTTCTGGTGTGTCTTCAATGCCATGAATGCTGTTCGTGAGTCCTATTGTGCAGTTTGTCGGCGCCCATATAATCATTTTCCTAGTATCTGTCAGTTGCTGCATTTCTTACTCCAGAAGTTGTATCCCGAAGCATATAAGCAACGGGAAAAACAAGTGAGAGGTGAGCTTTACTGAACTGCTTTAACATTTATTGGGTTGATTTGCTTACCACTTTAAATGAGTTATCTATGCTTACAACTTAGTTATTTCCACCGATAAACTCACTCTCCTTATGAAAACTTATGTCTTCCTAGAAACTAGTGTTTCCATGTGCACACATCCTTTTTCCAATGTAAAGACAATGTGATTAAACAATGAAGTTCAAGATTTCTTTGACATATGGTGCACATGTATATGAGTGGTTACATGAGTACTCTTACATTAGCATCTTCATTGGTTCTTCAGAGTGTAGCTAATGACTTGTAAGGAGTTCTTGTGATACCTTGAAAAATAGCCCCATCCTGCATGTCTAATGGCACCAGATAGGACTCCTTAGTCAGATGTCATGAGCTTAATGGTTTTCTATGAACCTACAGCGAATATATGTGGTCAGAAAAAAGAAAGCAATAAATTTGTTTTGCACCAACACTCTGAAAAAATCACGATTCCAACCAATAGAATTACCTCTATGCCTTGGAGAGTGGAAGCCATATTGCATGAGATCGACTAGATTTTATGGAATATGATACTTTGCAAGCGCAAAGCAGTTTTTCTTTTTTAAATCAAAATTGTGCATGTATGCCTCTTTTGGCTCCTTTTAGACTGTACTGCCATAGATGTGTTTGTAAGTAATCTTTTTTTCCGGAAATTGATATGACTCTATCCAGTAAGACGAAATGTCTCTAGATTTTGTTGGAATGCAAGAATGGTTAGATAACCTTTAACGAATTTCAGAGTATTATGAATAAATTCACAATAAGAGTTTAAGAATTGTTAGGTGACCGTCAAAGAATGGTTGTGTTTGCTAATCTGAGGTCTAGGTGGAGTGTGGATTTTAAAGTGTTACTTTGCCTCACCTTTTTCTGTATTATTTGGTTCCTTTGTTTTGAGGTAACGCTTAAAACACTGATGTTTTGGTTGATGTCATATTAATTCGACATTCTCAATGTTCTCAGTTTTTTCGGAAGCTTGTGTGAGTGACTTGTATGGCAGTTGCAATCTCATGATATATGACATAGTGTTTCCTCATAAATAATTCACTGTCTCGTCTTCCTTGGCTGTTCCAGAAGAGGAAAAGGAATTTGGTTACTTCTCACCTCAATTTGATAATCCAATATCTGGATCACATCCTACTGAGGAGTCAAATATTCTGGACAATGTTCAGTCAAAGAACTCTGAAAGTTGTTCGTCTGGGGTAGGAGGATCTCCTTCACTTGTAAATTCACCAGAAACTACGTTAGATGATGAAGCTAATAGTAAAAGGCCTACAACATCTTTAAAGAATATTGAAGCTACTGGAAATGCGGCCATCAAAGAAGACTGTTTGCATGATAGTGGTCCTGAAAATGGAACTCACAATAAGGTTTCTGTTTCTGATCTACTGTGTGCTGCATGCAAGAACCTGCTCTTTCAACCTGTTGTTCTCAATTGTGGCCATGGTAACCTACATCACTTAAACTGTTATGTTGAACATAAAAGTCAGAGGAATGCTCATGTCAATATAAACTAATTCAAAATCTCTTTTGTGCAGTATATTGTAAATCCTGTATCAACATCCCAGTTGATGGAGTTTCCAGGTGTCATATTTGTCAAAGCATGCATCCGAATGGATTCCCTAGTGTTTGCTTAATTTTAGAACATTTCTTGGAGGAGCAATATCCTGAAATATATGCACAGAGACAATCATCTTCAATAAAACAAGCTGATTGTGAGTATGAGAGTCTTAAGAACTTTTATGATTTTGGTGCTTTTATTCTGCTTCAGATTTTTCTAATATTTGTATCATTATCTAGGATTGGATCATGTATTATGCCTCGGAAATTAATATTGTTTTAATGATCATTTATCTTCAGAACTTGCCTTGCCTAAGCTACATAACTGGAAAAGAAATTGTAAAATATCTTCTTTGGGATTCAGAATTCAGATTGAACATCATTCATGTCCACTATTTTGTCCTAAAAAACCTCTGATTGTATCAGTTCAAAGATTCGAATTTCTTGGTTATACAGCCATCTTACTTTTTCCTTATCGATTGTATTCTAAAACTAAACCCTATTGTTTGTGCCATTTTTCCTTTTTCTCCAGTTCTTCCTCTGCTATCTTTGAATATATTTGATTGTAATATTAGGATCTGATTTTTCCTTACTTACTTCAGGCTTTGTTCACTAGTTTGTGTCGAAGTCGTAACCCACTTCTTTGGCTTTTCTTATGTTGTACTTCAGTTATGCGAGACATAATTAGTCATACTGTGGATATTTTGGTTTTGTACTACTGATGTTTCCAGTACTTTTTTTTCTTGTTCTATTTTTTATGCATTTCTTATTTTAGTTGTTTTTCGCTGTCTTGTTTCTGGTGCTCATATGAGATTAACTTGATTTCACATTCAGTGCATGCTCATCAACGTGCTGGCCAGCCAGTGTCAACGCTTTCTGATGATTACTTATCCGGCTGGTCTGGGATTGGGCAGAAAGTTCATTTTGCAATTGGTTGTGATTGCTGTGGGGTAATGTCCTTTGTCCCTGTCTACTTATCAAATTTCCATTTAAGAATAAGGGCCAAGGGGTTGCTTAATTGGTGATGAGCTTTCTCTAAAAAGACAGTGGACTAACTCAATTTGCATAAAGAATTTTGGAATAAATTTATTGATAATTAAATTAATAAAACTACCATGGTTTTTTTTGGCTTTATTTTATTAGATCCACTCTTCTAATTTCACCTGTATCCCACACTTCTACTTACTAGATCTGCACTCCTTTTCCTAAGTGAATGGAGGCAAATTCTTTAAAGATTTAAATGAGTATCAGAGCATGGGACACCAGTGGACGCAACCGTTGTATTGATAAAGTGTTCGCCATAAATAATATAATAATAAACTAATGGAAGTGCCTTGCAAATCATAATAGGAATTGCCCTACAAATCATAGAGTAAGCTAAGAACTGCTTGTGTTATTTTTTTATTAGTGACTGTTATACCGCTATGCTCTTTGCAGATGTCTCCAATTATTGGGGAGAGGTACAAATGTAAAGACTGCGTGGAGAAAATGGGTTTTGACCTATGTGGAGCATGCTATAATGCTCCTTTTAAGATCCCTGGACGATTCAATCAGCAACATAAACCAGAGCACGTGCTTGAGCTTGTACCACCACAGATAATACCTGTGCTTCACTACCAGTCAGATGAAGATGGTGCCGAATTTCAGGAAGACCTAGAAAATATCCCCGCTGCTCCCATTCCACAAGATCTTGAGCTTGTACCACCAGAGATAATGGCTATGCTTTCCTACCAGTCAGATGAAGATGGTGCCGAATTTCAGGAAGAATTCCGCAAGATCCAGAAAATGGCCCTAACAATGTGCCAAATGTTTGTCCTGCCTTTGTAATGTCAGTTGATAACTTAGATCCAGATGATGATTCTGATGATGGTGCTTCACCGGATGTGATTCAAGAATGTGAAGGTACCAACCAGCCTAAAAACTGACTATTTTCAAATTCTTGTTAGATACATTTACCCAAAACAACAAATCGTGTGTCAAATTTTTATGGTTTGATTTTGTTGAATGAGAAATGCATGAAGAATTTAGGGTACTCTTCCTGTGAGGATGAGGCTTTTCACTCCTATCAATATTCAGCAAATAGATTAGAGATACCAATAGCCAACACTTCGGCTTTTTTTTTTCTTTTGGGTCAAGAACAGTTGTATTATTCTTTCATGTTCACCATTGTTGCAAAATAAAGAGGTGAACTTTGTAGATCTCAAAGGTACTTTGTCATATCAATTGATTGTATTTGATTAAATTCCCTGCATTATATTTTTTCGGTTGATCATGTCATTGCCATATACTTGCAATGCAAGGAAGTTCTATACTGTGCAAGTTTATGAGTGATAATATCTGATGTAACTTTTGGCAAGAGATTTGTAACCAAGTTGTAACTTGTACACATCAGAATGTTGTGGCTTCAATTACCGACTCCATTACAGTTGTTTGTCAGTTCATTTTGGCTTGCTTCATGGTGATTTGTTTGACATTAATTTCCCTTGGTTTCAATGATTGACTTGTTGACGTACTTTATGTCCTGATGTAAATCTTTCTTGCTGTATTTTTTTTCCTTTTCTTTTTTCGCTTTAATGGTTAGGGTTTGGACTGATTCTGTTTATGTCCTGATGTAAATGGTCTCATCTAATTTGTTTGTTTTAGATTTTAAATAATTAATTTGTAATTTAGGTTTTATGAAAGGAAATTATATATGTGAGTCGACTCGGGATCAGTGAAAGATTCCAAAGAGCATGTGACTGTTCACGTGTGACTTGCTATTGGGAATATTAAAAACAGAAGAATCAAATTGAATCATTGGCGTACGCTACCATCAGTAACATAATTATTACAAATGATGCAAGGTTTAGAAAAAGACTGATATAAAATCTATTTATTCTCCTCGTTACATCATTTGACACTAAAAACTTATAATTTGAAAGATGTTTCAAGTTTGAATCTATCACTTTCGTTGAAAAGCTCATAATGCAAAATAAAGGAGTTCATCTAAGAATAAAATCGATGATAAGACCCCAAGAAAACCTTGATGAAAACTAAATCGACAATGAACTTTATAAAAGAGAACAAATTTGATCAACTAATTATATTACAATAATATAATTATCAAACTTTCTAAGTTTAAAATTTTTGGTCATGAATGATGTGATTGAGATAACATGATGATAATTATAAGTAGGTCCAAAAATGTTGGGATTTGTTATTTAGAAATAAAATATATGAATTATGAGTTTTTAATGGCGCCACTCATTATGAGCTTTTAGGAGAAGCAAAAGCTGCAAACGCTGAAAGCCCGCGACAGCGAGCGCCTTACCCAACGCTCTCATGTGAGATTCCGCCGTTCTTCTTCCTCGCCGATTTTTTTCAAAACAAAAGATTGGGATCTCTTTCCCGCCAATACTTTGACTTCAATTCAACTAGCAATTTTTCTTTTTTCTGCCAAGAAAGAAATTCAGGACGGAAATATTGCTTAATAAACAAATTTTTCGTGTGTTATAATGAAAATGAAAATGAATGTTTCCTTCTAATTAAAAGAATAAAATGTTTTTCATCGATAGAATCTAACTCAATGAAAAAGCGTTTTGATATACAGACTAATAATCTCATGTTTAAATCTTCATTACACCTTAGTAGAGTTTATGAGAAAATCTTCCTTCCCCTTCTTCGGTTTAAAAAAAAAAAAAAAAAAAAAGTAAAATATTATTCTGATAATTTGACTGAAATTGCGGAGATACACGCTCCTGAGGTGGCTGTAGACTTGTAGTGCCGATGAAGTCACGGTGGCGGTGTGAGTTCATATTTTGGGAATAAAAAAAGTTAAAAAGCGCGTGAATTGTGGGTTGGTGGGGACAAGGCAGGGCGCGAGGGGGTCCGTGAAAGCGAGGGAAGCGCCATCATTGGCTGCTTTTCCATTCAAACGTGTGCGTTTGTACGGGCCATCGGTGAAAACGAGGTGTTAAATTCAAGAGTATGATGAAATTGTATTTATTACTTAAACACCATCAAAATGAGTGCCCAAATTGTAGTTATAATTTTTTATCTTATGTAGTAAATTCCATCTTTGTTTGGAGAGTTGGCTAAATGCAACAGATTGAATTTGGTGGTGACCATTAAAACCAATTTGGGAAAGGTTGGTTATGGTTCTCTTCTCTCTCCCAAGAGCCAACCCAAGACCAACAACTTAGTATGTTTACAAGTGGGCTAAAATATACCATTAAAGCCGATGTGTTTTGGGCGAGACGCCTGCATCATTGCAGGCCAACCACAAATGGAATGGAATACTGCAGATAGAATCTATGGCGTATGTTAGTATTAGATGACATGAGGAAGAATGCATGCCCAAGAAAATAAAAAGAAGTTCAAAATATTACTATTGGAAAAGACAAAAGGGGGCTGGGAAAGAAGTAGCAAAGAGGAAATATTCATGAAGATGTTGAATTGGTTAAAATCATATCCGAGCTTTTGAATTAAGGGTGACTTTTCAAAACAACCATCGAAGGTTTTCATTTTTTAGTTTTAGTTTTTTTTTTTTCTGCATTCATTTCTTATTCACTATTTTCACATCACCACACATTCATCGCACTCCAATCTCAAAATTTAGTATCTGGAATCGCCGCACTTGGACTGGAACCCTCGAATCTCATGTTTGGCTATTGAACCCAGTTCCGAGACCCTTTTCCTTCTTAATTCCAAAAAATTCACCAAAAATTGTTTACAAACACCTTGAAACATGAGCTTACATTCTATGGCCTTAAATTCACAATTTGACATTAAGAAAAATTACATTCTAAAATTCACATAAGTAGGTGTTACTTCAATGACCGTAATTCTAAACAAGTGTCTGCCGAACAAATTTGGTAACCTACAAGCTCTCTTCTTGATGATCGTTCGGACTATTGAACCCAAATTGGTGACCGACATACTTAACACGATGATGACCCACATACCTAATTTGATGACCCTCGAATCCGACTCAATCTAGTATTCATGAGGTAATGAATCATGATTATATTCTAATCTGAGTAGATGCTATAGGTAGGTTTGTGCTTGCAAGGCAGTTAAGTTTGTTGCTGCAACAAATTTTTTAGTGACTTTCCAAATTGATGAACTGCCACCAGGGTCGTTCAGAAAAACTGAGTGCAAGTGTCTAAAAGATATCAAAACCACTCTCCTAAAGAAAGTGGACAGCACTCTCCAGACGGCAGACAAAGCCAAACCAATGAGCGTCAATGACAATGTGTGCAGGAGCGTGAAGAACAGTTTCCTGTGAAGAGAAGTGAGGAAGGCCTATCCTTATCGTAATAGAGAAAACTTTGAAAGTAGAAATAAAAATAAAATAAACATAAATTGAACTTTCCACCTGGCCACTGACGGAAGGTATCCAATGACTTGGGCATCTCAGCTCTTAACTCATAATATCTTCTCTTCAACTCTTATCGCGATATAATAAGACTCTCTTTCACTCTCACGCAAATAATTTTTATTTTATTTTTGTTGTTGCTGGAAATGAAATAAAAGATGAGTACTACTTCTAGGATTTTTTTATTATAAAAACTTTGGTGCATGTTGGATTACTTATAAATTATGTAACAAGAAACTCTTGCTAAACATGGTTTTGTTAACAATTAGAGAGAGGTTAATTCGTTGATGATCTCTTTATTAGCAGCATTGGTCCTGACTTTTCAGTGGCCCGAGGCCAGAAATTAAAATGAAGTCCTTTAAGTACATGAGAAGAACTTATGTGTCCTAAGCACAAGAACAACTTACATGCAACGGAAATATGCCACCATGGTAGTCTCTCTATTTTGTGTCTCTTAAGCACGAGAAGAACTTACATGGATCATGAATGCCATTATAGCGAAATTGCAAACCAATTACGCATTAACATTTGTGATTGAGTGGAGATATCGCCACAATGACATTCTCGGTGTAAGTAAGTTCTTCTCCCTTTGCACAAATGTTGTCATCCTTTGCTCCTTTATTGTCAGCCCTGCCTTGCTATGTGCTATCTCTATGCAACTCATCATCTAATCTAATTTATATATGGCTTTTAGCATCCTGCACCATGCATGTGGCAGAAAATTGTAATACAACATAAGCTAAAGAGAAACATAAACTTCATGAAAAGTACTACGTCAGTATGAAAGGCAGAAGAGAAAATACAAAGGAGAATGCTCCTTTTGTCTTGAAGATCAAGGCCAACATTTGTTTGTTTTCTTCTATTCATAACAAGATAATAGTAGTAACTTTATCCTACATTAGCCATGCACTAGCCGGATCCTTGGATTTATTTTAATTTGTCTATCAGTTAAAAGTGGTTCTAATCGTGATATATATATATATACACTATGTAATGTATGATTGTGAATAAATAGTGGCTCTTATTATATTTCTCTCTTACATACCATGTTAAATCTTTGTGGAAAAAGAATAAAGTTCTTTAAAGATCTTAAGTTTTAAACTTATATCTCTCAATCAACTTATAGATGATGTTCAAAGCTAGTTGCAACAAATCTCAGGTTTTTTGTTCCCGAGAAGTCAATGATGTTGCACACCGACAGCAGCTAGTTACTAGCTAGATTTAATTTAGGAAAAGATAACTCTTTTATGTGGTTTGACTTTGAGGTTCCCCTAATTTTCTTCATGATGTCCTATTGTTTGATTCTATGAGTCGGAGTTAGGTTATTTGTCTCCCGTCTACCCCATCCCCGGTATTTCTTCTAGTATTTAATAAATCTTCCGTCATACCATCGAGGTTCTATCAAACAAATCTCTGAATCAACGTGTTATAGTACTTGAATAAATGCTACTACTTATCTCTCATACGAGTGAGCCACTTAAAACTATTTGATCACTCGAATTAGGAAAACTAGGGCAGATGTGGATGTAGTTTAATTAGAGACGAAAAACCTAGTTTAAAAATAATAATAGTTAATATCTTTTACAAATTAATTTGAATTGTATATGATGTTTTTAATGTATGTAAGCTATATAAGTCTTGGAATCAGTATTTAGAAGAATCAGTGTTAGAATATCAAAGTAAAGCTCAAGGTCAAGGGCAGAATCAGAGTTCTTCTAATTGTTGTTTTCAGAGTGATTCTCTCTACCCTCATTGGTTTTGGTTCATAGAGTTACAAATTTAAACAACTCTTCCAAATAAATCTAACCCATCATACTTATTTTAATGCTCAATCATTAATTAATCACCAACACCTTCCAAAAAAACTAACAATAAATTAATAAACTAATCTAAACAATAAATACCTTGCAAATAACTAATAATTCTCCCATTCCATATAAAAAAATAAAAATAAAATATCTCACTGATATTATCCAAAATGCATTTTTTTTGGGTAAGCAAAATGCATTGTTTCCCTTTGGGTTTTGTTTTTCTAAAAAAAAATAAAATTGAAGTAGCATTAGAGATTGGAGAGAAAATGAAATTGAAAAAGAGAGAGAGAGAGAGAAAATGAAATTCTCCAAGTCTTTTCCAACCCTACCCCCCCATATTTCTTTCCCTTTCCTTCTTCTTTCCAGTCGACTAGGCAAGGCAGGCTCTTAGGCTGCCACTTACTACAAAATTACAAATACCCTCCTACTCTCCCTTTCTTCTCTTCCTTTCCAATTTTCCCCATTTTCAGACACACCTACACAACACACACCTCCTCAAGATGGACTTTTTTGGTCTGTGTCTCTCTCTCTCTCTCTCTCTCTCTCTCTCTCTCTCTCTCTCAATGAGTTGAGACTGGCGAGAGTTTTAACAGACAAATACCAACTACTAGAGAATAGAGAGATTACACAGAACAGAAGAAAAAATAAGAGGAGCAACAAATGGGCAAGTACATGAGGAAGTCCAAGTCCGCAGGGGAAATGGCAGTCATGGAGGTTTCACACCCACACCCACAGTCACAAGCCTCTCTCGGAGTTTGCACCCGAGCCAAAACCCTAGCTCTCCAGAGGTCGTCGGCTTCACCTGTCACCTCCGGCTCCTATCTCCAGCTCCGGAGCCGCCGCCTCGAGAAGCCTCCGATTCTCCTGCCCAAACGGCTCGAGCCCAAGAGGCAGAAACCCAAGGCTAGTTCTAATTCTAGGGCGACTTCGAGGCTTGGAGTCCATGGTTCGGTGGCCAAGGCTCAGGGCCAGAAGGCTGAGGAGGCTGACGAAATGGCGCCGAAAGAGGAAGAGGGTCAAGAAAAGAATGAGCACAATAACACCAACAACAAAGATAATGGCGATTTGGGTGTCGAAGAAGCTTCCTTTGGAGAGAATGTGCTCGAGCTTGAAGGTAGAGAGAGGTGGGTTTTCTGGGTTTTCTTTTATTTTAATTTTGTGTGCAACCTCTTCGGTGGGGGTTCTTGGGATGTTTCCGGAAAAAGAAAAAGATTTAGGTATCTGTTTGGTTTCCGAGAAAATGAAGGAAAATTGAAAGGGAGATTTTCGGTTTTGGAGAATTTTTATTCAATTGAAAATGTCTGCAACGAATTACTGTTCTTTATTTTCTTTTCGAACACTACTTTTTAGGGTTTTAAATTTTTTCAGTTGGGGAAATGATAATTGCCTGTCTTAAAGATTAATTGCTAGTTTTTCAAATTTGGGAAAAGCGGACTATATTAAAAAACAAATAAAAAATCAAACTTTTATATTTGATTTTGCGTTTTATTTTCTTGCTTACAGCCAGAAAATCTGTGCTTTCTATTGATTGTGGAATTTTCTTTTTCCTTCAAAAGCTTATTTTGGGATTGTTTTTATACATAATTCCTTTTCTTTTCCTTCTTTAAATCACTGTACTTTGGTTTGGGTTCTAAGAAAATTAAGATGAAATTCGCTTGAAAAGTTGGGATTTTCTGCTTTCTTGTGGGGTTATCTTGCATGCACTGTTTGGTTGCTTTGAAATTATAAGAAATAGAAAAAGAAATTCATACCCACAAATTCGTGTTTATCCCAATTAGGAACCGTACAGCAGGACTTCCACAAAACTGGGCTTAATAGAATTACTTGTCCAGGTTCAGGTTATTGTTCTCTTTCAGGAAACCAAAACTAATTTCTTTTTCTCCTTTCTTCTTTGAAAAAAAAAAATTATATTTGAAACTCTTTAATATATTTTCCCCAGATGGGCAACTTTTATATTTCCTAAAACTTTCTTGGAAGAAAAGAAGAAGAAAATCTATCAATAAATTCTGAGCTTTTTATTTCTCTCTCTCTCTCTCTCCGTTTTTCTTTTTGAAACCGTCTTTTTCCACTGTAAATCTTTTGGTTGTAAAACATTTCTGCTGCAAAAGGAAAAAGTTCTGTAATTTCTTTTTCTGATTTGCCTATGAGGGTAAACAAGATTTCCTTTATTCCAGCAGTGTTTTTGTCACAATGGTGCCAGATTGTTTTCAGATATATGTGACATGTACAAACCCAGAGTTCTTTTCTTTTCCTATTTCACAGTTTTGGCTACGTCTTTCTCCTTTAATTCTTATACATGATTGATTATTGAGTGTTTTGTCCTTCAATTTGGAGTTTCTACTTCTTTCTAACACTTAAGTTTTCATGTATATATTGATTACTTAAGTTTTCAAGTTTGGGAAACATGGATTCTCTCCCATGCTTCTGCAACAATTAACTGACTAGTATCATCTCTCTGTTTTTTGGGTGTTAAAAGTTCTAATGGCTAAGACAACTGACATAATTCTGACTCTGTACTTGAAACATAGGATTTAATCCTTTCAACTCCGTTATTGAAAATAAATATGCCCAATGCGGCAAATCTATGCCCGCAGCTTTGCATCTAGAAGACCTATGATTCTTTGTTTCATATGATAGCAATCGTTTTTTGAAGTGTTTTTTTTTTCGGCCACTAAGTATGCTGGTCTTTGGTACATTGAACAGGCAATGGTCAGATACAGTTTATTGTTTGTGTACTTGTTTTACAAAGGGAAACAGTATAAGAAGGTTGGAGGATATGGAAGGATTGATTTATTTGTGAGTGAAGCATTAGAAGGTTGGTGGCAGGGAGGGGAACCATAGTGTTAGAGTCCACTAAAAAAATTTGGCAATTGAGGCATATCCAGAATCCGACAAAAGAAAAGAAAACATGCCCAGTGAAAAAATTCTCACTGAATTTAGTACCATGAATGCATCCTGCACTTTGGTTACTTCATGGTCAAGTCCTGAATGATTGGCCAAGTCCCGCATGATTGAGTCAGAAGATAAATGAACGGATAACAGTGTTACTTCATGGTCTGTTATTTTTGTTAATGGTGTTATTTGCAGTAAACCATACCTATAGTTAACACCATTTGAAATGCAAAGCTTGTATATTTTTTTCCCCTCAATAAATTTATGTGTTAGTCTTAAGTTTAGCTTGGGTTACATGTGTCTGCTTGTTATATCTAATGGGATTGATTTTCTTTATTGCAGGACCACAAGGGAGTCAACGCCTTGTAGCTTGATAAGGGATCCAGACACCATCAGAACCCCTGGTTCTACTACCAAGCCTACTAATTCAGCTGAAGCAAATCGGAGAATACAGAGCTCATCGCAGAGGCACATACCAACAGCACATGATATGGATGAGTTCTTCGCTGGTGCTGAAGGAGAGCAGCAAAGACAATTCATTGCGAAGTATGTTACTCATTACTCTTTAGTTAAAAGTTTTGGATAGACTCTATGTTGCTCGTCATATATTTTGAATACAAATTTCATTTATATCCTCACAAGTTGATGTAATATTTCCGTTGTGGGTTTATGTGCAGATACAACTTTGACCCTGTGAATGATAAACCGCTCCCGGGACGTTATGAATGGGAGAAAGTGGATCCTTAGAAGATATAATTAGCATTGCTTCAGGAGTTCCTTTCCTGCACATTCTTGGTTGATCTTGGGCTTAGGAAACTTAAACTAGCAGGGTTTAGTTTTTAGTAGTTGAGGTGATGGTTGTTATTTCTATTTTCCATCACCCTTCTTTTACTTGTAAAGAAGTAGTGACTGGCAAAGATGTGTAGACTAATGGTCTGTAACATAACAGATGTTATGAGTACACAACAAATACAAAT